CGGACGCGCCCCGCAGCAGCAGCGGCTGCAGCCGGGAGCTGGTGTGGACGAGTGCTACCCTCTCCAAGTAAACCCTAAACCCTAAACCCTTGCGAGCCTCTGCTGAAACTCAATGGGGTTTTCGGTGCGGGGCTGCCAGTTTAGGATTTAGGATTTAGGGCTTAGGGTTTAGGTTTTATCCTAAAGTTGTCATCATACATCTACAGTTCGGGTTTGAAGCTTTAAGATCTAGGGTTTAGGGTTTAGGGTTTAGGGTTTAGGGTTTGTTTGAACAGGGGCGCGTCATTGTTCTACCGGAGGGCTACAGAGAACTTCAGCCGCACGAGATTTTCGTTGACCAGCACGAGGCGCAGTGGCACGAAGAAACAGGTGAAACCCTAAACCCTAAACCCTAAATCCTAAACCCCAAGCACCACCACAGGGGAGAGCCACAGTGCCCGTAGAGGATTCCGCGGGAAAGGATAATTGCTAGTGAGCTGTTTGACTCCGGCTGGAGGGCTTGCGGGTTAGGGTTTGTGTTTAATATCTAGGGTTTAGGGTTTAGGGTTTAGGGTTTAGGGTTTAGGGTTTTGCTGCAGGGGCTTTGACCCAAAGGGGCTCTTTCGAAGGAGTCGCCAGCAGCGCAAAGTCCTTCAGCAACTTCCGCATTAACTGTCTCTTTGTGGGGGGCGCTCAAGAAAGAGACACGGGCTTGCCCCTCTACACGCGGCTCGGTAAACCCTAAACCCTAAACCCTAAACCCTAACCCCTAAGCCCTAGGCAGGAAGCCGCCCTACAGTGGCGACGGCGAGTTGTCCATGGGGCGGCTGCCGCCTCTTCACGAGCGGCTGAGGGTTTACAGCTTGGGAATTGGGGCTAGGGTTTAGGGTTTTCGGGCCCGGCGCTAGAGTTTAGGGTTTAGGGTTTAGGGTTTGCAGACGACGTGGCCTATGAAAACGCGGACGCAAGCCCCTTCGCCTCCCCTTGTCGAGGAAGTCCTTGTGCGCTGCTGGGGGGGGCCCCGGGCTTTTTCGAGCTTGTTCAGGTGAGCCCCAAACCCTAAACCCTAAACCCTCGCGAAGTCGTCGGCCTTCCCTAAACCCTCAGCGCCCGTCGGGGTTTAGCAGACCCAAACCCTAGAGGGAAGGCCCTCCCCGGCGCCTGCCTGCCAAATTCGTAGCGAGGGTTTAAGGTTTAGAGTTTCGCGCTCAAGGCTTAGCGACCAGCGCCTAGGGTTTAGGGTTTGGGGTTTAGGGTTTAGGGTTTGAGCTGGGGCCTGCAGGAGTGCCACCGCGAGGGCATGAAAGTTGTCGTTGATGTATCCACTCGGGTTTCTGCTTCTCATCCCCACCGGCACTATTTGCCGCTGATGCTGCTGCATGAGGTGCCTCCAAACCCTAAACCCTAAACCCTAAACCCTAATTTTAGGCGGCTAGGCCCGATCGTGGGCTTCAGGTTCCTACGCTTCAGCGGTGGAGGCGTTGCCGATCTCAGATGCACGCGAAATGGTGGCAATTTGGAATTCGAGGTGCCAGATTTAGGGTTTAGGGTTTAGGGATTAGGGTTTAGTGTAGGGTGCTGCTGCGCTCAGGATGCGGAGGGCAAAGCCAACTACTTGTATGGAGGCGAGACAAGAGGCATCAGACGCGGGGGTGGGCTCAGAGTTGAGGGTTTAGGGTTTAGCGTTTAGGGTTTTGGTTCGATGCAAATCCGGTTTGGGGGGTTTGTGTAGGGCTTAGGGTTTAGGGTTTAGGGTTTAGGGTTTAGGGTTTGCACTTCAGAAACAGCGCTTCTGAACTACCGCAAGGTGGCGAGCTGGAATCGGTTTGTCCTGGACGTGCTGGCTTGGATCAAGAAGTTCGGTGAGCCCAAACCCTAAACCCTAAACCCTCGATCTCATTTTGGGGTTTGGCTTTTCAACTTTAACAGCAGATTGCTCTGTGCAGTTTGTGCAACAGGGTTGGGTCTAACAGCTCTGGGTTTAGAGTGTGGAGATGAGGTTTAGGGTTTAGGGTTTAGGGTTTAGTGGCTAGGGTGTGCAGTGGTTTGAAGTCTGCCCATCGCATGAAGCTGAGGAACGTGGGGCTTGAAGTTGAGTGTCGAGGGCTCAGGGTTGAGAGCTGAGACCACAGGGTGCAGGGTTTAGGGTTTAGGGTTTAGGGTTTAGGGTTTGGGTTTAGGCATTGATGGAGTGAAGCTCCTCGATAGCGCCACAGCCCCAGAAGTCCTTCTGCCAAACAGCAGGGCTTTGAGTCGCAGAGACGCAGACGGGGAAGCAGCCTATTCTCCTGAGGACATTATAACTGGCCAGGTGCGCGCTAAACCCTAAACCCTAAACCCTAGCTGCGCCTTGCTGCAAAAAGGGGCGCTCGCTGCGCTCCCGCAGACCCACTGGACGCCGGGGAAGCCGCGGGTTTAGGGTTTAGGGTTTTGGGTTGGAGGTTTGGGGCTGCTGCTACCAAAATGTCCGGTCTTCGAGTGCCAGGAGTTTAGGGTTTAGGGTTTAGGGTTTAGGGTTTGGTGGAGCTGTCCGCAGGTGGTGGTGCCCGGCACTCAAAACAAAACAGGGTATTGGAGCTTGGCGAAGTCGGCGCGTTTCTACCCCAATCCATTTTTCGTCAAGGTTCGATAGGGGTTTAGGGTTTAGGGTTTAGGGTTTAGGGTTTTTATCCTACACGATCGTGGGAAGAAGCGGCGCCGCACTGCAGAACGACCGGAGTTGCGGGTTTAGGGTTTAGGGTTTAGGGTTTAGGGTTTGCGTGGGCGTTCAGCTGTGCCGGAGCGTCTGGGCGGAGTGCCCGGACTTTTTGGTTTTCGCTGAAGCAGCAAACCCTTTTGGCGAGGGTTCAGGGTTTGGCGCATGCGCAGCTTGTGGGGCTTTAGCAGCAGACCCTGGCGGTGGTTTTTGTCTTTCCTGTTCCTGCATGCTCCCGGAGTCCGTCGCAAGCCCCAAACCCTAAACCCTAAACGGGGCTTTGCGCGAGAAGGGCTCTGCGGGAAGCTCCAACGCCCGCGCCCAGGGCGAGGGTTTAGGCTCTAGTGTTTAGGGTTTAGGGTTTAGGGTTTAGGGTTTAGGGTTTGCGGCTGCAGGAATCTCCCCAACTTGCCCCCTGATGCCACTGCAGGACTTCTCTCTCGCAGCGGTTTGCTGCCGGTGGTGCAGCAGGTGGCTTCTTTGGTGCCTCCTCTCCTCAGTAAGCTAGGGTTTAGGGTTTAGGGGTTAGGGTTTGGGGTTTAGGGTTTAGGGTTTGGCAATGCGGGCTTGGAAAAGATTTGCCCAGCGGGGGAACAGCGGCGCTTCTAAGGGTCTCAGGGCTAGAGCCGCAGCACAGAACTGAAGGCGCAGGGTTGGGGGTTTAGAGTTTAGGGTTTAGGGTTTAGGGTTTAGGGTTTAGGGTTTGGAATTTTGGTGATGCAGATGGGCATGGCTCTGTGGCTTCTCTCTTCAAGACGCTCTGTAAACAAAACGCGGCGATGCCGCCGGGAGGAGCTGTCCTGCAGGTGCCCTAGGGTTTAGGGTTTAGGGTTTAGGGTTTAGGGTCTAAAGATTGGGGTTGGGCTTCTTGTTTAGGGTTTCAGGTCAAGGAATGCTGTAGGGTTGGCTGCAAGGAGCGGCAGGGAGTCTGAAACGAGGGTTTAGGGCTTTGCGGTCACGCATTTAGGGTTTGGAGCTTGGAAATTAGGGTTCAAGGTTTAGGGTTTAGGGTTTAGGGTTTAGGGTTTGTGGCTCAGCTGTCCTGCGGGCCGGCGTCTCCCCTGCCGTTGTTGTCTTACAAAAGGGCAGCATGGGTCTTTCAAGATCTTCTGTGTTTTCTGCCGGACTCCTTCGTGACCGGTGCTAAACCCTAAACCCTAAACCCTAAACCCTAAACCCTAATTTCGCTAGAGTGTCTGCCTCCATTCCCTAGCCGCTATCCCTATTTTTGCATCACCTGAAACCCTAAACACTCTCTATGCAGAAGTTCTATGGCTGGTGGCTGGGAAGGGAATGGCACCTAGCGTTTAGGGTTTAGGGTTTAGGGTCTAGAGCCTGCGTGCAGTCGCTGGAGAGCTGGAAGGAATGATTTTCAGAATGGGGGTCCCAAACTTCTTCAGTCCGAATGAGCGATGTGAGTCTCTAAACCCTAAACCCTGCTTGCTGGAGCAAAACCCTTACCATCTAATCGTCTCCAAACCCTAAACCCTTGCTAGCCGCCAGTCCTCAAGAACATCTGCAGCAAAACGCCGTTTGGCTGCTGCGTTGCTGCGTTGCACTCAAGAGCCGAGAGCTTGGGGTTTAGGGTTTAGGGTTTAGGGTTTAGGGTCTAGGTTTTAGGGTTTATCTCTTGTGTTTTGTGCTTCAGCCGACAGCAGCGGAAGAGTGCGCATTTGGCTTTAAAACTCTCTGAGGCATAAGCCCTGTTCTTTTTTTCTTGTCGCTAGGCTGCATTTAATATATTTAGGGTTTAGGGTCTAGGGTTTAGGGTTTAGGGTTTAAGATCACTATGATGTGTTTGCAGACCCAAGGCACTAGCGCCTATCCCTGCAGCAGTGCGTTTGCTGCTCCTCTGGACTGCGTTTAGAAGAGGGTCTGTGGTTTGTGGCCGTCGGCCAAGGATTTAGGGTTTAGGGTTTAGGGTTTAGGGTTTAGGGTTTGCGGTCTCAGAGCTGAAGCTGCTGGAGCGGTTTCTAGGGCCCCACGGCTTTGAGCGCATTACTCAGCTGCCCGACAGAGAGACAGAGTTTCTGCAAACCCTCGGCGCCTCCGCAGGCACGCAAACCCTAAACCCTAAACCCTAATGCAAACCCTGGACCCTAAACCCTAATATTGAGTTCAAAGTCCTAGCTGCTGCCCCCGACACGGGTTTGTTCCAGGGTGTGTTCTAGACTTTGTTCTAGGGTTTGAGCTAGGGTTTGTCCTAGGGTTTGTGTTAGGGTTTATCCTAGGGTTTGAGCTAGGGTTTGTCTTACGGTTTGCCCTAGGGTTTGTCCTAGGGTTTGTTCCAAAGTTTATCCTAGAGTTTCTGTCCTGGGGTTTGCGCCAGGGTTTGTGCTAGGGTTTGCTTTAGGGTTTGTGCTAGGGTTTTTTTCCATTGTTTGCGTTAGGGTTTGAGCGAGGGTTTGTGTCCTAGGGTTTGCGCTAGGGCTTGTGCCAGAGTTTGCTCCAGGGTTTGCGCCAGGGCCTAGGGTTTGCGTGAGGGTTTGAGCGAGGGTTTGTGGTTTGTGCTGCAGCACGGCTGTCTTCACTTGCTGCTCGCTACGGGCTGCTGCGGGAGCTGCGAGCAGCAGAAAACTGTCTCCGAGGAGGAGCTTTAGTCCCTCTGGAGTTGATCGATCCCAGCGGGCGTTTGTTGGCGAGTTTGTACGCGCGGGAGCAGCAGCAGCGGCGCAGCAAGAGGGGCAGCAGCAGCAGCAAGGCGCCGCAGCAGCAGCAGCAGCAGCAGCAGCAGCAGCCG